GAATGATAACGGAAGGCCAGAAAATAAATGTGTAATACGCTTACGAGATATTCTTATCCGGATCATGCAAATCACCAGCAGCTTGAATGAACGCGACGAACATTTTATTGACATCTATTCGCAGAGAATATACCACTTTCGTCACTGAAACGGCGTAAAGAAGCTAGAGACGCGTGATTATTGCAACCATTGCAACCACGATTACTTTCACTCTGCAAGACAACGGCTTACAAGCGAATTGTGTACATAGCGTTGCCTGGAGCGTCGTAGGGTGATTTCCTGTGCTTTTGCTGGGAAGTAGTTGCACTCCTGCTATTTGGGCTTGCCGACGTCCGACAAATTCGTCCAAAGCTCACACTGCTGAAAGGGGTTTTCTTTCAGGGTGTTCTCGAAACTTTTTCCGTTTTTTTTTCTCTACTGGGGAGTTACTTGTGCTACTGGTTCATGACTGAGCACCTACCACCACTGACATTTGATCACGCGAATCGTCTTTAAATAGTGTTCGTTCATCTCCTGATCAGTTGCGCACCCTCCTTTCCTACATCCGCCAGGTCGTAAAGGACGACAGATTGCCAGAACAGGATCATCTTATTACCATTCCTTCTATAGATGGAGGCCTAGATGCTGCTGAAGAGAGAACGCCTGTTTATTCCTATACAGAGGTTGACATAATCATGTCCTCTTTCATGATCATGTTTGCTCAAAATTGTTTTTTTTTGCGTTACATTTTCTTATTTTGGGAAAGGTCCATGCGACTAATTGTTTCAAATGATTGTATACTTACGCCTTGGTGTCATCGTTTCTGTGCCTCTGACCCCTCAGTCGCCAGAAAATGTGATCCGTGAAGTTCATTTCGCTGCTCAAGTAGTTCCGGTGACCCACATGTGGCGATTATGTTTGCTTTACGAGAGTGGGCGGCGTCGTCCGCGTCGAAATACATCATTTTTTGATAAGTATCATCACGTATCATCACTAATGTTGCCCCTTTCGCTGCCCTCTTACTTACTTTACTCAAAACTTCGCCGTCGTGCGGGGAACGGAGGGGAAGACGGCACGTACGATTGACTATCAGAAGTAATAGGTGGTTGAAAAAGTTTTTCGTCGTTCAATTTACCATTTCACCGGATTTCGAAAAGGGTCCTGGGATCGATCTATAACAAAATTTAGACTGGCTCATGGCCGGCATATGGAGACTTAGAAAAAAACTGTGAGTCTTTGGATGACTTGTTCTGGCCCACCGTCTTCATCGGACCTGGCCCTAACAGATTACCATCTGTTTCTTTTGTTGTTCGACCATTTGCAGGAGAAGCAGCTCGATGACAGAGAGCAACCTGAAAGATATCTCAGTG